CAGAGAGGAGGAGATAATTTTAATTTTTACAAATCATTCTCTTTCTGATGCTATTTCCTATTTTTTTTTTTTTTTTTTTGAGACGGAGTCTAGCTCTGTCGCCCAGGCTGGAGTGCAGTGGTGTGATCTCGGCTCACTGCAAGCTCCACCTCCTGGGTTCAGGCCATTCTCCTGCCTCAGCCTCCCAAGTAGCTGGGACTGCAGGTGCCCACCACCATGCCTGGCTAATTTTTGTCTTTTTATTAGAGATGGGGTTTCACTGTGTTAGCCAGGATGGTCTCGATCTCCTGACCTCGTGATCCGCCTGTGCCGGCCTCCCAAAGTGCTGGGATTACAGGCGTGAGCCACTGCGCCCAGCCATTTTCTCATTTTCAAAATTATTTATTATGAAAAATGTAAAACATATACATAAGTAACACAATAGTATAATGAACCCCATATACCCATCACTCAACCCCAACGACTATCAACTCACAGCTAATCTTGCCCCATCCACTTCCCACCTTTACCAGATTATTTTGAAGCAAATCCCAGGCATTATATCATTTCATCTGTAAATAACAAGAACCCCTTATCATAAAATATACAGTTCAGATTTCCAATTATCTTATGTCATATTTTTTTAAGGCTAAAAAATAATCACTATCCAAATAAGGTCCATACAATGTGACTGGCTGATAATGTCTTATGTGTATTTTAATCTAAAGATTTCAGATCTTTTCCCCCTGCAATTACTTTATTAAAGAAACAATACGCTAGATGGCTTACGCCTGTAATCCCAGCACTTTGGGAGGCTAAGTTGGGCAGATCACTTAAGGCCAGGAGTTCGAGACCAGCCTGACCAACATGACGGAACCCCATTTCTACTAAAACTACAAAGAAAATTTAGCTGGGCATAGTGGCATGGGCCTGTAGTCCCAGCTATTCAGAAGGCTGAGGCGGGAGAATCGTTGAAACCCAGGAGGTGGAGGTTGCAATGGGCAAAGATCGCACCACTACACTCCAGCCTGGGTGACAGAGTGAAACTCTATCTCAAAATAAAAGAAAAGAAAAAAGAAACAGGCCAGGCGTGGTGGCTCACACCTGTAATCCTAGCACTTTGGGAGGCCAAGGAGGGTGGATCACAAGGTCAGGAGTTTGAGATCATCTGGACCAACATGGTGAAATCCCATCTCTACTAAAAATACAAAAATTAGCTGGGCTTGGTGGCGTGAGCCTATAATCCCAGCTACTCGGGAGGCTGAGGCAGGGGAACTGCTTGAACCTGGGAGGCGGAGGGTATAGTGAGCCTAGATCACGCCACTGCACTCCAGCCTGGGCAACACAGCAAGAGTCAGTCTCAAAAAACAACAACAACAAAAAAAATCACAATACCACATATTATGGTGTTATATATGGATACATTTATCACAAAATTATAATAATATGCATGAAAGGCCAGAGTTCAGGATGGTCTCGATCTCCTGACTTTGTGATCCGCCCGCCTCAGCCTTCCAAAGTGCTGGGATTATAGGCATGAACCACCACGCTCCACCAACGTTTTATTTCTTAAGAAAACAATATCTCATCTTAGGCTACATGACGATAAATAAATAAGGAAAAAAAAATAGCAAGAAGAGACCTGAAACAAAGATGGCAACCTAAGATAAAGCAGTATGGTAGGTGTAATAATGTTCACTATTATGTTACTTTTATACTGTTAAATTATTGTTATTTTTTTCACACAGGGTTTCAGGTTTGTTGGTCAGGCAGAAAACAGCGGCGTGATCATAGCTCACTGCAGCCTTAAACCCCAGGGCTGCTGGGACTACAGATGCATGCCACTATACCCAGCTAATTTTTTATTTTTATTTTTTGTAGAGACATAGTCTTATTATGTTGCCCAGGCTGGTCTGGAACTCCTGGAGTCGAGCAATTCTTCCGCATAGGTTTTCCAAAGTGCTGGGATTACAGGCATTGAGCCACCATATCCAGCCACTATACTTTTTGATATGCTTGAAACAATAAAAACATTTTAAAATTATGAAGTCAATGGGAAAGATACAATGATTATACTCTGTGAAGTATCAAATGTCCTCAAATATCACAGTACCTACCTGATAGGGTTGTGGCAAGAATTAAATAAGATCATGAACATAAATTTAGCACACTAGAGGCATGACATAAGAGATAAATAACTGGTGGCCATAGTTATTATTTCACCCCACCACCATTGCCCTGGCCCCTGGTGTCTTAAGAGAAGCATAAAGCCAGGTGTGGAGGCTCACGCCTGTAATCCTAGCACTTTGGGAGGCCGAGGTGGGCGGATAACCTGAGGTCAGGAGTTCGAGACCAGCCTGGCCAACATGGTGAAACCCCGTCTCTACTAAAAATACAAAAATTGGCCAGGCGTGTGGTGCATGACTGTAATCCCAGACACTAGGGAGGCTGAGGCAGCAGAATCACTGCAACACAGGAGACAGAGGTTGCAGTGAGCTGAGATCGCGTCACTGCATTCCTGCCTGGGTGACAGAGGGAGACTCCATCTCTCAAAAAAAAAAAAAAAAAAGCATACGAACGGTAGGAAAAAAGAGTGCTAAACTGGTAGGGAACTTCCCCTAGACCCTGCCTGAAATTATCTAATATACTCTACTCTCATCTAGTTTAATCCAGCATTCAATCATATTGTCACTAAAGACCAGACTAGGTAGACATCTGAAATATCAGGCAAATTATGCAAATTAATGTTCACTGAACTATCTTTTACAGAGGTACTGGACCTCAGCAATTCACTTCAAATCTCTGAACCTCAACACAGATGAGAACACACATCTAAAAAGGGGTAAATACTGTTAACTTCAAACAGATTATCATGAGAAAAAAGAGGATGCTTATGAAAGTCCTATAAACCTAAAAGTTCTATACCAAAAAAACCTGGTATTTAATGAGTGTGCAAGGGGGGAAATCCTCAGATAAAACTGAAGTTCTTCAGTGAAATTCCAAAGACAGCCTTACTTACTACTTCTCTGTCAAAAGATGGCTTGCTTACTTCTCTGCCTACCATTCTTGGCACTTGTCTGGTAACCTCCACTTAAAATATGGGGATCCCTTTTTTTTTATTTTATTTTATTTTAATTTTTGAGACAGGGTCTCACTCAATCACCCAGGCTGGAATGCAGTGGCATGATCTGGGCTCACTGCAAACTCTGCCTCCCAGGTTCAAGCGATTCTCATATGTCAGCCTCCCAGTAGCTGGGATTACACGCGTCCACCATGCTGAGCTAATTTTTGTATTTTCAGTAGAGATGGGGTTTTGCTATGTTGGTCAGTCGGGTCTTGAACTCCTGGCCTCAAGCAATCCTCCAGCCTCGGCCTCCCCAAGGGCTGGGATTACAGGCGTAAGCCAGCATGCCTGGCCATATCCCTTTATTTTTAAGGGAAGAATATTTTTCCGATCTCCTAATTCTATCTCTTAGTTCCTCTACACCCCATCCTTTCTGTGACCCCATTCTGTCCTTCCACATCTCTCTCACCTGTCCACCCCCTTCTTCACATTTCAGTTTACCACCCCCTCTCTCTGTTCTCGAACCTCCTGGTTGCAACCTCAGAAACTGGTTCCCTTTCTATTTTTATCTCACCTCAGAAAACCTACTGCCTTCGAGCACAAAGCCTTACTTTATTGAGGCCACTAAAACTGCAACACCAGATGCAAACCCACATCCTCTTTCAAGCTCTAAAGTCAAGACCATTACCAAGCAGGGTCTGACAGGTACAGCCAAGGGCAGAGATTATTTCCAATGGACAAGACCTCCCGCTGGCCTTTGATTTCCAACCTTTCCCAAATGCAATACATGGGAAGCACACAGCACAAAACGCACTCAGCAAGCTTTGTTATCACTCCATAAAATACACACAACATTTACAAAAAATCAAAATGAACTCAAATTATCTGTAACAGTTTTGCAAATTCCTTCGAAGTAACTAAAAACACCGCAGGACGGAAAAAACAACCCAGGGCTGCAAATCTTTGCTTTAGGTAACATTTCACTAGATGAGAGTGCCAGGATTCTCCTCCCACATGGGCACAGAGAACAGATTTGCTAAGCTGCAGCAACAGGTTTCTTTTAAAAAAGAAAATGTGCTTTAAAACACTTCAGGCAGGTCTGCTAGAGCTTGGAGTCCCTAATAAATACAGAAAACACTGGAGATCAGGTTAGGGCAGGCGGTGGGCAATTCAACCACTTCTAGGACCTTTCCAGGACCCACCGAGGTGCTGCTTTCCCTCTTGCCCTAGAAGTAACTGGTGACGCCGCTTCCAGCCCTTGAGGACCCGCAGAAAGGATGGCCCAGGCCCAACCTTTGGAGGATACTGCCTTGGCTCTCTCTCACAAATGCAACGGCCCGGGACGGTGTCGCCCTCCAGGAAGGCCCTTTGCATCTCCCTCCTCCGGAGACACCGCGAATTCCCGCCTCCCGGCGGAAAGCGGGAGAAGCGAGGGTTTTCTCCCCGCCCCTCCCCCAGTAGGGGCACACCCGCCCCCCTCAGCAGGCCTGGGCTTTGCGCTCCTCTCCCGAGAACCACCGTCCTCAGATCTCCCCGGGGAGTGGGCCGTCCTCTTCCTGCCCCCACCCGCGAGACGCGGCAGAAAAGCCCGCGGCTAGCTTCCCGCCAGCAACAGCCTCCCGCCGAGCCGGTCGGGACAGAGGCGGCCCCCACTCCCACTGGGCAGGGACTGCAGACGGCGCTCCCCGACTCTCAGACGACCAGGGAGCTTCCCTTTTCCTCAGCGGGGTGAGGGGCATCTGTCGCCTGCCGACTTGGAGGTGGGGGGCAGGGACATTCCCTCGCCATCACCTCAGGAGCTAGAATGCTTCTCGCCGCAGGGCGTGGGCCTCCCAATCCCTCCAAGGGGCGGACGGCGTGCGCAACCCCCTGGAGAAGCAACAGGCGCCCCCATCCCCCTCCAAGCCGGGTAACGCCGACCCCCTCTTCCCTCCCGCTCTTCACCTCCGGAAGCCGGGCCAAAGCCTGGGCGAACGACTGCGCCTCACTCCGCCCCCTGCGCCATTTTATCGCCCCCTCCCCGACCTCCCCCACCCCGAGTCAGCCGGGCCAACGCCAGGGGGAGGGCAAACCAGCAGTGATTGGCAGGAAACCGTCCCGCCTCTAGGAGGGTTGTGCCCCGCGCAGGCTCTTCAGCCCCGCCCTCCGCACCGCCTACCGTGCCCGCCGGCTCCACCTTTTCCCGTCTCATCGACCTGCTCGACTCTCCGCTGCTCCTCACTTTTTCCAGCTACTGCCGGGCGGGGAGGGGTCCAGGCCGAGCAAGCGGAGCGCCGAGCCCAGCTGATGCAACCTGGCTGGACTCGCGTGACAGTTCCCGGTACGCGGCGGCGACGGTGACCCAGGAAGGGGCTCTGGTGCCGGGCTGAGCAGGGGAAGCAGGGGTAGCGGAGCCATGGGGGACGCTCCCAGCCCTGAAGAGAAACTGCACCTTATCACCCGGAACCTGCAGGTCAGGCCTGGGGGTCGGAAATGCGCCGTTGGGGACTAGGAGCCCGAGGTTCAGTGATTTTGAGCCCCATTACGGGGTTCTAAGTATGTGGGACCGGGGTCTCGGCGCTGGGGCATCTCTGAGAGAGGCTGTAGATCTCACTGCTGGTCGGTCAGTCAATCAAGCAGCCCTTACCTGGGTTCCACAGAAAGCACAGCGGGCTCATCTCTTCCGTCCAGTTACCTTGTGTTGGAGCCAAGCTTTGAATCCAGGACTCCCACTCCACCGCCCTATTAAGTGCCAGACCTGGTGTTTAGTCGCTGGGGATACGTCAAGCCAGAGCTTGTCTGAAGGGGATCAGACGTTAAAAATGACCCATTACGGTTCAAGTAAATACTGGAAGATGCTATACTGGGAGCTTTAAAAGGAAAAAGAGAAGGGAAGCCTTCCCTGAGGAAGTGACCTCTAAACTGCGCCTTGAAGGTAGTGGATCCCCCCTCCTCATACGTTCCGATTGTTACCAAGAAATACGGGAGTAGAAGTTAACCAGAGGAAGAATGGAAGAATGACGAGGGAGAGCATTTCAGATGGAGGGAACAGAAATTGTGGCTAATTTAGCTGGAGTGGAGTGAGCAAAGTTATGCGGAAGCACTTAAATATTTGTGTTGCTTATTCCCTTAACTTTTTCAGGCTTCTATTGTCACCTTATCAGGGAGGCATGATTTCCGACCACTTTATTTAAATAACAAACCCTCTGGCACCAGAACTGCCCCATCCCTTGCTCTGCCTTTTTTTTTCTGTTATTATTTCTACATGCTATACATTTTATTTGTTTATTTGTTTAGGAGAGGTAGGCAGGGTCCAAGTCACGGGCGCCTGGCAGGCCTTATTCTGTTCAATTTTAAATTGTGCTTTCTTCAAAGAGCAGTGATACATCAGTTGGGCCACAGCCTGCTCTGTTTTTTCTTTTTTGAGATGTAATTCACATACTATAAAATTCACCCTTTTAAAGTGTACAATTCAGTGGGTTTTAGTATGTTCACAAGGTTGTGCAACCATCACACTAATCTAATAAAACTTGCACCCATTAGCAGACACTACCTATTACCCACTACTCCTAGCCTTAGAGAAACACTAATCTACTCTCTGTCTCCAGGTATTTGTCTATTCTGGGCATTTCCTGTAAGTAGAATCATACAATATGTGTCTTGTTGCGGCTGATTTTTTGCACTTAGCATAATGTTTTCAGAGTTCATGCATGTATTTGCACCTAACAGAACCTCATTCCTTTTTTAGTTTTGTTTTATTTTTGAGACAGAGTCTCCTCGGTCGCCCAGGCTGGAGTGCAGTGGCGCGATCTCAGCTCACTGCAAGCTCCGCCTGCTGGGGTCCACGCCATTCTCCTGCCTCAGCCTCCCGAGTAGCTGGGACTACAGGCGCCAGCCACCACGCCCGGCTAACGTTTTGTATTTTTAGTAGACGGGGTTTCACCGGGTTAGCCAGGATGGTCTCCATCTCCTGACCTCGTGATCCACCCGCTTCGGCCTTCCAAAGTGCTGGGATTACAGGCGTGAGCCACCGCGCCCGGCCGAACGTCATTCCTTTTTATAGTTGAATGATACTCTGATGTATGGGTATACATTTTGTTTTTCCGTTCATCAGTTGATGGACATTTGGGTTATTCCATTCACAACTTAGTCTTAACCAAAGGTTTTTGCATGCTTCCCCTAGCTAGATTCTTTGTTTCCTATTCTCTCTCCATAAAATAGTGCTGGTTGGAGACTAAAAATACACAAAACTATTAGAATTTACTCAATTGGGTTTTTCGTTTTGGGGTTTTTTTTTTTTTTTTTTTTTTTGAAACGGAGTTTCGCTCTTGTTGCCCAGGCTGGAGTGCAATGGCACAATCTTAGCT